AGGGCCCCCCAAGGGTGATGAGGGCGGATGGATGGAAGGGCTGCATCCCTGCAGCTCCATCGCTCCCCCGGCGCCTCCCGCTGCTCCAGTGCCTTAACCGGCCCTTCCCGGCCCTTCCCGCTGCCCCGGCACTGCAGGAGCTTCCAAACAGGCTCCTCCTCGCAAAGCATCCGAGGGAGGCTGCGGCCGAGGCTGGCGCGGAGGCTGCGGCGGAGGCGGCGCGGAGCAGTGAGGAGCAGGACGGCGCGCGGACCCCGGGCCCCGCAGGGAGCTCCCGCGTTGGGCTGTGCGTGAAGCGCAGCCGGCCTTCGAACCTCCTAGGAAAGCAGTTACGCTTGGTTTTGTGTTGAAATATAGCTAGTATTTAAATATTTAATTAATATTTAATATATAACTTAAATTAAGAAGGAGAAAGAACTCTCACTTGTCAACGTGGCATGTAAATATTTTCCCCGTATCAAATGGAACTGCTCCTCAGCTGAATTTTTTTCCCTTTCCTGGGAGCGGCCGTGGCGCTGCCGGCTGCAGCCCCGCGCTCGGTGCCGCTCCCGATGGATCCTGCCCACAGGGAAGCGTGCGGGACAGCGCCGCAGCGTGCAGAGCTGCATTGGAGCATGCACAGCAGCTCCGCAGTGTGCAGGGCTGCATTTAGAGCACGTGGGCTGGTGCTTCAGCCTGCAGAGCTGCATTTGGAGCATGCACAGTGACTCTGCAGCGTGCAGAGCTGCATTGGAGCATGCACAGCGACTCTGCAGCCTGCAGAGCTGCATTTGGAGCATGCACAGCGACTCTGCAGCGTGCAGAGCTGCATTTGGAGCATGCACAGCGACTCTGCAGCATGCAGAGCTGCATTTGGAGCATGCACAGCGACTCTGCAGCCTGCAGAGCTGCATTTGGAGCATGCACAGCGACTCTGCAGCGTGCAGAGCTGCATTTGGAGCATGCACAGCGACTCTGCAGCATGCAGAGCTGCATTTGGAGCATGCACAGCGACTCTGCAGCCTGCAGAGCTGCATTTGGAGCATGCACAGCGACTCTGCAGCGTGCGGAGCTGCATTCGGAGCGCGCGGGCACGGCCGTGGTGCAAGGCGAGCGTGGGGCACGTTACGGTTCTCCGGCTGGTTCCCGCCTCGGGAACAGTGCGAGGGGATCAGCCGCGTGAGGCAGGAGGTGGCTGCGGTTCCGGATGCTGCGGGAGGCGCAGGTTGCACCGGAGTAAAGGGCCGGCGTCAGGGGAGCTTCCAGCCAAGCGAAGAGCGGGAGCCGCATCCTGCTGGGCAGCCGCGAGTGAAGGGAGCGGGAGCAGGGGCAGGAGCTGGTGCTGGAGCAGGAGCCAGTGTGGAGCTGCTGCGGGAACCGGAGCGGGAGCTGGTGCAGGAGCTGCTGCGGGAACCAGAGCGGGAGCTGGTGCAGGAGCTGCTGCGGGAGCCGGAGCGGGAGCTGGTGCAGGAGCTGCTGTGGGAACCGGAGTGGGAGCTGGTGCAGGAGCTGCTGCGGGAGCTGCTGCGGGAGCCGGAGCGGGAGCTGGTGCAGGAGCTGCTGCAGGAGCTGCTGTGGGAACCAGAGTGGGAGCTGGTGCAGGAGCTGGTGCAGGAGCTGCTGCGGGAGCCGGAGCGGGAGCTGGTGCAGGAGCTGCTGCGGGAGCCGGAGCGGGAGCTGGTGCAGGAGCTGGTGCAGGAGCTGCTGCGGGAACCGGAGCGGGAGCTGGTGCAGGAGCTGCTGCGGGAGCCGGAGCGGGAGCTGGTGCAGGAGCTGCTGCGGGCGCCGCAGGGCGCTGGTGGGTTCCCGCTCGGCTCCCGGAGTCCCAAATCCACGTTCCCTGGTGGATTTGGGCAGTTCCTGCGTGCGCCCCTTCCAGGGGGACACGCCGGCCCCTGCAGCGGGACCTGCCCCGGCCTCGCACCCTGGACACCGACCGGGCAGCAGCTCCGGGGCTGGGGAGCGGATCCAGGAGGAGAAAAGGGAGGATAAGTCCGAGGGGTTGGAGGGGGCAGCGGGAGAAGGAGCGCGAGGGGTGAGAATTCCTGGTGGGTCCATATCCGTGTCCGCCTTCCCTAGCTTGGGCCTCAGCTGCGCAGCCCGGGGCCGCCGGGAATGTTTGCAGAGACCTTTTCCTCGAGCGGATCTTTCCGAAACCTTTGAGCAGAGCCCGGGTGTGGGCACCGGAGCGCCCTGGCCGTGCTTCACACGGTCCTCGTATATATATATGTACGTATGCGTCTGTATGTATATATATGTATATATATATACATATATATTTATATATGGAGTGGGTAAGATGTATTATTGCAGGTTAAGATGTCCACGCTTCTCATGACCGCGATAGGAGCCTGCCCGGGCAGGGCCTTGCGCGCCGCGCCGCGTTTGCCGGCGCGGGGTGAACCGGCGGCTTGGCCCTTGGCGGGGCCGAAACCGGGGGCTTTAATCCAGACTGCAGCACCGCGTGGCGGGCGCTGCGGCTGCACGGGGTGGCTGCGGCTGCTCCCCGGGAGCAGCGGTGGGTGCCCGTCCCGGCGGCAGGCCCTGACGCACCCGGTTGCACTGAAACCAACCGCGCTGGTTTGGGGGGACTCGGGACCCCGCGGGACCCAGGATGCTGCAGCGATGCCCCCCGCCCCGGGGCACTTCCCAGGCGGGTCCCTATGGAGCCCCCGATGCTCCGGCAGGGAGCCCGGCCCCGCTCCGGAGCCGCTCCAGCCCAAGCCCAGCGGGACGGGGGGCCGAGGCCGCGTTCCCGGCCGGGCTCCGCTCCCGGCCGCGTCGCCCCGGTGTCACCAAGTGTCCTGGGCCAGGCACCGCGTGGCACCGCCGCAGGGCCGGGGTCGGGCTGTGAATGCGACAGACCCCGCGCGGGAGGCGGCCGCCGCAGCCCCCCCACGGCTGCGGCCCCCCCACAGCAATAAGCACCTGCGAGGAGGGAGCCGGTCCCGAGGGAGCCGGTCCCGAGGGAGCCGGTCCCGAGGGGCCCAAAGGCCCTGGCGCCAAGTGGCCTTTCCTCTAAATTGGGCGGGGGGCTCAATTGGGTTAATTAGTGCAATGATGGGGAGGGGGCTTTTTCTCATGACGCCTACTGCCCTTAACCGTCCGAACCGGGTCTTTGTACGCGCCGTCTGTGTATCTATGTGTATATATGAGGGACAAATTTTAAATTACTGCCTTTTTCCCTGTTTATTTTTCTGAGTAATTCCAGATGTACTTTAGTCTCTCTACTGTCAAAACTTTTATATTGTAAAACTGATGCTGGTGGCTTTTGGTTATTTTGGTTTTTGTTTTTTTTTGTAAAAAAGAGAAAAAAAAAAGAAAAAAGAGGAAAAAAAAAAGTCTGCATCTCTCTGTGTTGTCGGTTTTAGGCTGTAAATTCCAACTCTCAATAAAAGCTCCAACTTCACGTGACGCTGGTGGACGTCTCCATGCCGCCGGCGCGGCCGCGCTGGGAGCCGCTCGCGCGGGGCTGGGGGCTCCCGTGGTGCCGGCCCGGGGACGGGCAGCAAGACCCGGCGCGCAGAAGCTGCAGCCCCTGCTCGGTGTCCCTCCCCTCCACGTCCCCTCCACGTCCCCTCGATGCCCGGGCGGGTCGGCGCGAGGCGCAGGTTGTCCCTGCAGCCCCACGGGGCAGCTTTTTCAGATGGATTCTTGGGCACACGACGCTGCTGGAGCCGGTGAAGGTGCCCGCTGGGCCCTGCTGCCCACGGGCACCGGGCGCAGAGCAGCCCCGCTGCATCCCGGCAGGAGCGGCGCCTCTGCTGCGGCTCTGACGTGGAGGAACCCGCGCGGCGAGCGGCGCTGCGGCTGCTGCAGTCCGGCCGCTGCTGCAGAGACGGCAGCGCAGGGGGCTGTGCCAGCCTGGATGGGGGGCTGTGCCAGGCCAGGGCTCGTGCCAGGCCCTCCTGCCGTAGTTGCTGCAGTTGCTGCAGGCTCAGGCCGCTTCCATGCAGCCCCAGCAGCTCCCTGCAGCACCGGGGCGCCCGGCGAGGCCGGCGGTGCCCTCCCTGCCCAGGCTCCGTCCCAGCGCGGCAGCCCCGGCTCCGCGCGGCGCCCAGCGAGGCGGGGAGCGCGTGCGTGGTAGTAATTTTTTTATTAAATTCAGTTAGTTTTTCTCTTTATATAATAACCTTTTCCTCTAGGCACAATACAATACAAGGACTCTGTATGTTTGACACAATGTACAGAAACTTCAATAATCTACAACTGCTGGGGTGAGTTACAAAACCGCCGTGTTACACCAGCTACCGGCCGCCGTCCTACGGGCAAACAGAGAGGGGCCCCGGGGGTTAAGACTGTACAAAGGTCGCACGGAAATAAAACGCTGGGCGCCGCTAAAAACGGGGGGTG